TCAATAAAATCAAGTTTTTTTTTTTTTTCTTTTTCTTTTTAATGTGTTATATTATATATGTTAATGCATATTTTAACAAAATATATACCATTAAATTTATAATATAAGTTAAGAAGTGTATCAATTTTTTCGTTTATTTTTCTTGATGTAAATTAATTTGCTTCTTGATATAGTGTGTACAAATAATATATATCCAAAATTCCTCTTGTTTGCGCCTAGCAGTTCCCGCAAAAAAATCTCTCACACTTCTTTCCAACCTAATTATAATATTTAATTAAAAATAAAAAATAGGGGCAAAAATAGTGACTCATCATGTTAGACAGGAATTTGAGATGTGAAAATAGTTCTAGAATTTGTATGCCTCTTTCATGCCACATTATCACAAATAGAAGTAGAAAATACACCGTTGGAGAAGTTAACGGTGAAGTTTTTCCAAGTACTGACTCTACAATTTTGCAATTGAAACACCGTTAGAGATGCTCTTAGATGTTCCATGAATGAGGAGGGTTGGGTCACAGCTGCACGACGATTTCAACTTACACGCGCTGGGAATAGTGTTGATGGACGGATCGATCAACGGTTAAATAAAAATTTAGTGTAGGAAAAATAAGGATTAAGGACAATGTATGTGAAAAGTTGATTGTTTACTATTAACAACGAGGTCGGCCTTTGATATGGAGGTCGACACTTTCGTTACACTTGGAATGTTCACGGAAATCTATTACAGATTTGGATGAGTGATTATAGAGAGGTTCAACTACTACTTTCTCTCTCTATAATCACTCCCCCAAATCTGTAATAAATTCCCGTGAACATTCCAAGTTGTTGAACTCTTCAAGTACTACTTTCTCTCTCTATAATCATTCCCCCAAATCTGTAATAAATTCCTGTGAACATTCCAAGTGTAACGAAAGTGCCGACCTCCATATCAGAGGCCGACCTTGTAATTAATAGTAAACAATCTACTTTCCACGTACATTGTCCCTAATCCTTATTTTTCCTACACTATC